GAGGAGGATGGAGGAGGAGGAGAGGAGAGGAGGAGGAGGAGGAGGAGGGAGGAGGAGGGAAGGAGGAGGAGGAGGAGGAGGAGGAGGAGGGGAGTGAGGAGGGAGGAAGGAGAGGAGGAGGAGGAGAGGAGGAGGAGAGGCAGGTGGCACGGAGGAGGAGGAGGATAGATGGAGGAGGAGGAGGTATTGAGGTAGGGAAGGAGGAGGGGAGAGAGGAGGAGGAAGGAGGAGGGCTGAGAGGCTAGTAATAATGGACAGTAGGCCAGGCAGCCTACACACAACACGTAGTATGATTCCTCCTTATGATTTTTTACTGCTATATGATGACGTCACATGCGCGACGTTATACTATGCATACAGACGACACGACGACGACGATGATAGATGATAGATGATGATGATGGGGAGGAGGAGCGAGGAGGAGGAGGAGGAGGAGGAGCGAGGAGGAGGATGGAGGCAGGAGGAGGAGCAGAGGGAGAGAGGAGGAGGAGGAGGAGGAGGGAGGCTAGTAATAATGACAGCTAGCAGCAGCTTACACGCGAACATCGTGTATGTTCATCCTTTTTATGATTACTGCTAATGATGACGTTCCACATGCCGACGTATACTATGCATACAGACGGACCCGACGACGACGACGATGATGATGAGATGATTGATTGATGATTGATGATGGGTGAGGAGAGGGGGAGGAGGAGGATGAGGATGAGGAGGTGGGATGGGGGAGATGGAGGGGAGGGGGAGGCTAGTAATAATTGACAGCTAAGCAGCAGCTACTCGCGAACACGTGTATTGATTACCATCCTTATGATTACTTGCTAATGATGCACGTCACATGCCGACGCGTATATACTAAATGCAATACAGACGACACCGACGACGACGGATGATGAATGATGATGATTGATGATTGATGATGATGGGGAGGAGGAGGGGAGGAGAGTATGGTAGGATGAGGGAGGCGGAGGGGGAGGATGGAGGAGGAGGGCGGAGGCTAGTAATAATGACATGCTAAGCAGCAGCTACTCGCGAACACGTGTATGATACCATCCTAATGATTATTGCATAATTTATGACGTCACATGCCGACGTATTACTTATGGCATACAGACTGACACGACGACGCGATGATGTTTTGATGATGATAGATGATGATGATGATGATGATGATGATGATGCATTGATGATGATGATGATGATGATGATGATGATGATGATGATGATGATGATGATGGGGAGGAGGAGGAGGATGAGAATGAGGAGTTGAGGAGGGGGAGGAGGAGGAGGAGCGGGAGAGGAGGAGGTAGGAGGAGGAGGGGGAGAGCTGGGGCAGCTAGTAATAATGACAGCTAGGCAAGCAGCTACACCGCAGGAACACGTGTATGTTACCATCCTTATTGATTACTGCTAATGATGACGTCACATGCGACGTATACTATGCATACAGACTGACACGACGACGACGACGATGATTGCGATGATGACGATTGCGATCAATGATGATTGGGGGCGAGGATGATGTGATGAGGGGGAGTATGATGATTGTGACGATTATGAACAATGGATGACAATTATGATGATGACAATGATGACGATTATGATGATGATGATGATTGACGATGATGATGGACGATTGTAATGATCGAATGATTGATGACGATGATGATGATGATTGATTGTCATGCATGGGCGAGGAGGTAGGCAGGATGATGATGATGATGATTGATGACGATGAATGATTGATGATAGATCGAGATGGACGATGAATAATGATTTCGATGATGATGACGATGATGATGATTTGATGATGATGATTGGAGGAGTGAGGAGAAGGATTGGATGATGATGATGATGATGACGATGAATGATGATTGGTGGATAATGATGACGATGATGATGATGATTTTGAGACGTTGGTTGATGAATGATGTGACGATGATGGATTGATGATGATGACGATAGATAATGATGATGATGATGAACGATAGATGGATGATGATGATGATAATGATTGATGATGATGATTTGATGATGATGATTATGACGATGATCGACGATGATGATTGATGATGATTGATGACGAAGATGATGCGTGATGCATGATGACGATTGATATGATGGCATGCATGGACGATGGATGATTTATGATGAATGATGATATGATAACTTATGCCCACGGTTTAATATGCATACAAGACGACACGACGACGACCGATTTGATGATGATGATGATGATGATGATGAGGCAGGAAACTAGTCGAGCCGATAAGCGTACATAGAAAATTTCTTCCTTCCCCGTAGATCACGTAATACATTAGCTAAGTGAAAAATAGAGCGAACCTGTCCGTTCGCTGCATTCTAGATCATTTCAGGTCTATCAATAGTCTATAGATAGACTCCTGATAATTTCATGTTCATAGTTTTGATTAAATTCCACAGTTGGCACTTACAACGCCAGCGAAATTGCTCGCCAGTAAAATAGCGCTCTGGATATTAGTCATGCTGAACTAGTTACAGCATCCGTTCCTTATGCCCTGAGCTGGGGACGCCAAGCTGTGACGCATGGTATAACTCGCACCCGGCAGATAGTGCGATTATGATAATTGAACATACTAGGCACTTAGCGATTATGACTACTAGGCACTTAAAAAAAAAACCTAACCCTAACCCTAACCCTAAAAAAAAAAAAAATTTAAATTTAAATTAAAGTGCCTAGTTAGTCAATATCATATCGAAACCTTTTTGCTTCTGGCTGATATAATCATGGCCTTCGTGCCAATATGTACATGTATAATCCTTCCTTCTCCAGTGGCGTAGCTAGCATTTTTCTAGGGGGGGGGGGAGCACTGCGGCCTTACATTTTTCGTGGGGAACGGTGAGGGGCACAATATATAACTTTTCTTTGTATTATACTGTTCTAACGGCATTGTTTTTAATTCAATTTTTTTTTTATCAAGCATGAATTTTCAGTGGGGGGGCACCTGGGGGGCACAAAAAATTTGTGGGGGGGCTAGTAGCTACGCCCCTGCCCTTCACCCGCACACCTCTCTCCCCCTACCCCCCCCCTTTTTGCCTGACCGTTTTCAATGCTTTCTCAGTCTCGACTCTTTCGCTACAGCCATTATTACCCCCCCCCCGGCCCCTGTCGAGGGCATGTCGAACCGACGTAAGTACATCTTCCGGTTAAAATCACACGCTAAGTAAACGCGCAACTTCTTAATCATGTTTTAGCTCGTTTCGCGTTTTAGAGAGAGCGAGCGCGAGCAAAGTACTATCTCCGGTTACATTAGACACGTTAAATTTTGCACGTGTAAATCTTCGACGAGCATAGAGAACAGCGAGAGAGAAACCTTCCCTCCCACGACGAACCCTCTCCCCCGATGTAACCCCCTCCCCCCGATGCAACACCCGCCCCCCGATGCAACCCCCATCATAGGTGCTGCCAGTGCTGCCATCTGACGGTAATGGAGAGGCGGAATTGTTGTAGGATATTTGCGAGTGGTTGTGGATGTTGTGGTTGGTGTCGCTATTGCGTTTGTGCTTTTGTTCCACCCCTCCTCTTCTTTCTCCTACGTCATTCTCCTCATCCTCATTCTCTTCCTGCTCTTCCTCTTCCTCCTCCTCCTCCTCCTCCTCCTCCTCCTCCTACTCCTCTCCTTCCTCCTCCTCCTCCTCCTCCTACTCCTCCTCCTCCTCCTCCTCCTCCTCTTCCTCCTCCTCCTCCTCCTCCCCCTCCTGCGTCGACCCGTATCGAGTGCACAAATTCGTACATGATTGACATCGCCTTGGCGTGCTTCTTCGCAGTCCGCAAGATGGCGACGTTCATTATCAGCTGCGCCATCATCGTCGGCACCGTGACACCGTAGAAGCCATAGCGCATCTCGCGCGCCGCCAGGAGGCGCGCGCGCGTCGCGAAGACGCGCGCGTCGCGGCTCCACATCGCGTAGGCGACGCCGGCGACCCACATCCACGGGAACGACCAGAGGCCGACGACGGCGACCACGTAGATAGTGCGCGTCATCCAGACGACGTACTTGAACGGGTAGATGATCTCCAGGTACTTGTCGGCGAGAAAGACGGACAGGTTGCAGACGAACACCAGCACGCTGCCGCACTGCAGTATGACGAGCGTCGCGACGAGGCTCGTGTTCGCTGCGTCGTCGCCAGGCGGCGCCACGAGTTCGATGGCCGTCGCCAGGCCGACGACGAGCGCGAGCAGCGCGTCGGAAGCGACCAGGCTCGTCAGCGTCACGTTGCTAAGTTTCTGCAGGTAGCGGTTCGAAAGAAGGCAGACGACGAACAGCAGACATCCGCAGACTATCAGCGCCGTCTGGAGGAGAATGACGGCGGCGGCGACGACGCGCAACGCGCCGACGCCGTCACGTGACTCCACTGCTTCGAGCTCGTCCTGCGCGGCGGTGGCGCTGCTTGCTAGTGACGTGTTAAAAAGTTGCGGTGACGTCATGCTTCTACACGCGGCTGTTTAGGCGGAGAAGCGGGCGGCTGTAAGATGACAAATTAATCGTTAGCAGCTGCAGGTGTAATTAATGCGACGTCTCTTGCTAGGAATATGAAACAATTAACGATGTGTAATAGCCGGCGCCAATACGAAAGAAATCTCTTTCTCTCTGTATTTTTCCCACTCTCTTTCTCCTTCTCTCTTTTTTTCTCTCACGCTCACTTTCTCCCTTTCTCCCAGTCTCTTTCTCCCATTCTCTTTCTCCTTCCATTTTTTTTCTCTCTCTCTACTCTCTCTCTCTCTCTCTCTCTCTGTCTGTAATATACATACACGCGCATATTCGGCTTATAAGCACCAATTTTGCAATCATACCACCATTAAGGAGTCATTAATAATATCCGCGATCTTGATTGGCACAGCGCTAGCGCTGAACTGCTAACGATACAGCAGATACGCTTAAATATCAGGCGTCATGCCCAGAAATTTATAGACAGAAACAAGCGACAATATAGGTGAGACTTGATGGATATATCAACATACATTCACATATATGTATGTATATATCAAGAGCGTATTAAACATGAGTCCTATATAATGATGCACTGTTAAGTATGAGCATACTTAATACGCTCTTGTATATACTTACTGAATAACTCTTAGGGTTATTTCCAGAGCAACGCTACGTGTGATTTCGCGAAACTGTACATATATCCCGACGACGTGGCCGATACGCCACCAAAAACTATACACGATTTCTACAGCATAATACGAAATTAGTAAAAAAATCGGTAATCGATTTATGTTATCGATTATATCGACACGATCGGTTCGATATCGGAAATCTCGCTCAGCGATGCAAGCTCGAGGAGTTGTTCGTTTGCGCCACCTGGCGACGGAGTTAGACCCGTCCTGACGGCAGGACGCTGCGCGCGCGCTATTGTCAACACATTACCGTCGCGGCCGCGCATCGTCAACGTTTTACTGTCGCGGCCGCGCATCGTCAACGTGTTACCGTCGCCGGCAGCGTCGGCGTCGATGTTGTTGTTGCAGTGAGCGACGGTGCCGTCGTCGTTGACGATGACAAAGTTGTTCAGACTCGGCGATATCTCCTTCTGCACGCTGCTGCAGCAAGAGCTCGCTCTGCTTCTCTCTATGGTAGCGCTGTCAGCGTTCTGCACCGGAGCCGACGTCGCAGCGATGACGATCTTTGGCGCCACCTTGCGCTTCCGGCGCACGCGCAGCTTGCGGAAGTGACGTTTCAACGTGCGCCTGATCGTCTTGGTCCACTCGGATGTGTTGATCGGGTTGACGAAAGGTTCGAGACCAGCGTTGCCGTAGCAGACGGCGAGGCAGACAACGACGACGTCGGCCGACACGGCGTCCGGTCGCGCGACGTGCAGCGAGAAGACGACAATCATCGGCAGCCAGATGGAGGCGAGCGTGGCGCCACCTAGCGTCATGAAGCGCGTCGCCTTCCATTTGCTCTTTTCCTGCCACGCCTGCTTGGCGCGCCGCACTGCGAGGAAACTCTGCCTCGCCGGTCGCGTCCCTCCTCCTCCTCCCCCTAAGATAGATAGATAGATAGAGAGATAGATAGATAGATAGATAAATAGATAGATAGATTCTCGCGTTGTATAGAAATTTCGATTTCTATGTCCTCACAATCTGTCTTTTATGTAATGCTCCAATAGCCGCAGTAGGTACATTCCTGCTCGTTTAAAGTGCTTACGTCACCGTAAATAGTAAAAGTGAAAAATTATGTCCACTCAATGTCACGTGTGTTGACACATGTCACGTTGTTGCTCTGACAGATGAGCTCGCTATGTTGCAACCTGGCGCTGAAACACTACATGCTGAAGCCTGTGCAGCGAATCCCACAGTACAGGTTGCTGCTGCAGGACTACCTGAAGCATCTTCCTGACAGGTCGCCCGATAAGAAGGACACTCGCTGTAAGTTGCTTCACCTTATCTCTTAAAGTGATTACGTCACCGTAAATAGTAAAAAGTAATAAAATATTTCCACTTTTTCACAAAATGTAAGTGATTCTGCTCACTTTTTATGGTTAAATTGCTGCATTATACTTCTTATTTTGCTATTCCGTTCGATGTGAACAAACATTCGTGACTCAGACATAGCCCATAGCAAGCATTTAATGCCGTTGATCAATATATCAAATCGCCCAGGTTTTTAGGATTTTTAACTAGTTGAGAAACAATCTTATCAGATAAGAATTTGAGGCTACATTTAGTCCCGTTAGTACTTACTTTTAATATAAAAAATTGCAACAAAAATTTTACAAATATACACTATTAAATAAATAAATTTCTTGTGCCCTACTGGGCTACTGGCCTAGTGGACTAGTAAAGAGATTCTCTCAGTTGACACACCATTGAAAATTCGTGACGTAGTAAATTTAACACCACCCCCTTGATTTTGATATCGGGGTTAATCCGAGAATCTATATCTGTAATATAAACCGACCGACCGACAGGCATCCTGTTCCTGAGGTAATCCAGTTTCCCGCGTTAATAAAAATTGATGAAAGAATCTGAAGCCTTGCTCGACATCCTCCAGGCTGTACCCGCCGGCCCGAGGGAAGCTGCAGAGCTCAGGATGCGGATTTAGGAATAGCGAGATGAATAACGTTGAATCCGGAACCGTATCGAAGTTGAAGTTTAGGCTGATGAGCAATGGAAGGTGAATGTAAATTCCAGGGCACGTGAATGTAAATTATTTATGGTGTTTTTTTATTTTATTTTATTTTTTTCCAGATTTGACACAAGTACACACATTTACACATATAGCTGATCAAATATGTAGACACATACAGGATTTGAGCACTAATGAAAACATATTCAAAGCATATTGATGGTTTATTATTGTAACGATCGTATTACAGCGCGAGTGTGATTAAATCCGTAACGTAGAGTTTCGCTCCCAAACTCTCACTCTCTCACACATACACACACTCTCTCATTCTCTCTCACTCTCACTCTCTCTCACACACACACACACTCTCTCACTCCCTCTCTCTCTTTCTCTCTCTCTCTCATGCTCTCGCTCTCTTTCTCTTTCCCTTTGCTCTCGCTCTATTTCTCTCTTTCTCTCTCTCTTCTCGCTTTCTCTTTTTTTCTTCCTCTCTCTCTCTATCTTGCTCTGCCTCTTACTCTCTCTCTCTCTCTCTCTCTCTCTCTCTCTCTCTCTCTCTCTCTCTATCCTCGCTCTCCTCCCTCTCGTCTCTCTCGCTTCTCTCTCTTTCTTGTCTGTATATACATACCCCAGACTGGCCAATATTCGGCTATAAGACACATCTTGCAATACATACCACCAGTTAAGGAGTCTTAAATAATATCCGCATCTTGATTAGCAGCAGGCGCTACGCGCTGAACTGCTAATCGATACAGCGTCATGCCCAGTAATGTATTAGTACAGACAAGCCGACAATATAGGTGAGACTTGGTATGGATATTCAACATACCATTACATATATGTATGTTAATATCAACGAGCGTTATTAAACATGAGTCCTCATATTAATGATGCCACTCGTTAAGTAAATGAGTATTATACTTAATACCAACATCTTTATATACTTACGAATAACTTCTATGTTATTCCAGAGCAACGCGTACGTGTATTTCGCGAAACTGTACATATGTCCCGACGACTGTGGCCGATATCCCACCAAATACTATAACACGAATTTTACAGCATCAGTACAAAATTAAGTAAGATAAAAATCGTGTAATCGAATTTATGTAATCGATTATATCGACACGATCGGTTTCGATTAATCGAAATCTCGCTCCCAGCGATCAAGCTCAAGAGTTTTCCGTTTGCGCCCACCGTGGCGACGGAGTTAGACCCGTCCTGACGGGAGACGCTGCGTGCGCGCTACTTAGTCAACACATTACCGTGCGGCCCGCGCATCGTCAACGTTTTTATGTCGGACGGCCGCGCATCGTCACTTGTGTTAGCCAGTCGCCGGCACGCGTCGGCGTCCGACTGTTGTTGTTGCAGTGATCGACGGTGCCGTCGTCGTTGACGAGACAAAGTGTTCAGACTCGGCGATATCTCCTCTCACGCTGCGCCAAGAGCTCGCTCTGCCTTCTCTCTATTGTAGCGCTGTCAGCCGTTCGCACCGTGAGCCGACGTCGCAGCGATGGACGATCTTTGCGCCATCCATTGCGCTTACCGCGCAAACCCAGCTTGGCGGAAGTGACGTTCAACGTGTCGCCTGATCGTCTTTGTACCACTCGAATGTGGTTGATCGGGTTAGAACGAAAGGTTTCGAA